ATAGTATCCGCCTGCTCCATCCATGCTTTGAAGTTATTTTCGTTTGGGGATGACAACATAATGATGCCCCACTCAGGGGAGGGCACAACATCATTCGATGGCTCTTGAAAATGTCTTGCCATATCGACGATGATATACCCCTTCATTCCACTCCCAGCCAAATTTACCATAACCCCTCTAATATTACTCTCACCCTCGTATATTGTCACCGTTCGTGTCCTCTTGTCAAACAAGTATGCGAAATCCCTTCCAAAGCAGTACACAACCACATGGAGCTTCGTGGCATCGTAGTGCAGCAGCTGATAAAGGAGGTAGGAGCCAGCCGCCATTGACTTCCCTATCCCAGAAGTTCCAACCAAAAGACGGCGTCTCATGTATGGTGCGTCTGTATCTGGAGGGGGAAACACTCCTTTTAGATCGCCCTCGACGATCTTCCACACCCGATGCACCTCAATGTTAATGTAGCAGTCGGTAATAGGCACTGCATGGTTCAGCGAGTACGGCCATCGCTTTTCAGAGGAAAGGATCATGAGTCGTGGGCGTGGTGGACGGAATTGCTCCTCATCACCCACTGGGAGAAAAGTACACACAGTCTGCGTGTACTCCCATAACTCCTGTGGCCGTTGACCCTCTATCACCACCATGTATTCATCTTCGTCCTCAGGAAATCCCATGACGTGACTCCACGTTGCGTTAAACACGGACTCGTAGAATCCCTCCGGTAATGGTCATCTGGGAGGTTTTTTATTTTCCTGCCTTGCTTCCTCCTCCGCCCCGGCAAGAGCTGATTGGAGTTTTACCCGTGTAATAGGAGAGACAATACTCTTATATGCAAACTCCTTCCAGTCTCGCAGCGTGGCCAACCCGCGCTCCGTAAGCATTGCGTGCATCTTCTATTTCTTCCCTTATGGCTGTGTAAGACGGCGATGCCAGTATTAAGCCCAAAACATCTCCGTCGTCGATGAATGCCCGGGGTTGCGCAACAAAATTCTCAATGGAGACATTCTCGTTAATTGGCACAACTCCCCTGCCGCATAATGTACTGCGAAGAAAGTCATTCAGGTTGATGTTACGTATACGACTAACCGGCACATTAAGAACATCCTCGATAGAGCTCACCAGCGTCCACCTTGGCTGATGCGGTGCTCCTTCCACCCTTCGGCGCTGCGCGGGGCGCTCCTCGGTGGGGTGAGATTCTCCCTCGCGTCTCTCAGACATGTTTTCTTTTGTAATGGTTAACTTAACGTGAGTTAAACTGTAGCACAATACTCAACCAGCAGTCAAAAGGGAGAACAAAAGAAAAAGACTGAAGAGGCATAGGCACGACCCCACGCAGCCGCAACAAAAACAAGAGAGAGAGGGCCACCCACACACGGCACGCGGCGCACACCTTACACGCAGGGAGACCACCACCACGGCATATGAGTGCCCCACGCACCGCAGAGTGTTGAGGATATTGAACGACAACAACAACGTGGTGGGTACGTAGGGCTGCTGCCCTAGCACTCCTCTGGTGACAGCCCAAACAGGAGGAAACAGCGCCACTGCACACAAATTCCAACAAGATGAGAGTGTAATGAACCGATGCACATACTAGTGTAAATAAGGCAGAGTAATATTTTAATCTGATATATACATCACAAACAACAGTTACAGTACGATCTGTCCCATAAGCAAGCTGCAAATGGAAGAGAAACAAGATACACTCATCTTCAAGGTGATCTCGCGTCTCGCACTCCATCATTGCAGATGAACTGACACTTGTTCATGTTGTCACACATTCCGCTTCTCAGACTGCTTGCTTACCTAAAGTCAAGTCCTGTGGTAAACGATATGGTACTCACAAAAGTTAGCACTACGTCTAAGGGGAGGTACATACTAGAGTTTCACCACGCCTCCTATGCCCATGTAATCCACAATGCTACACATATGTTGTACTTATTTCATTAACTAAAAAATAAAGCCATAATAAAAATGTCAAGAAGCTGCTCCCCGACGCCCTTGACTACTTTTTTGTGAGCAATTACGCTGCGCGTACCGGCGCAACACCTGCCACCAGACTAGATATGAAAAACCCTAAGATGCAAAAAAAAAATGCAAGGGGAAAAAGGAGGCAACACAATCTAAACAAGAACACAACTCGCCAAAGGCAAATCGTGATTCATTTGTTTATTGTCTGAAAAATGCCGAGAAACTATAGATACGTATTCCTTTACTTTTCACCTGTTCCTTTTTGTTAATCTTTGCTTACCCCTTTACATTCCTTATTGGGTTCTTTTTACCTTTTTTCGTAAGGTAATAAAAAAAAAATCCCTTGGTAAGCCTGTGCGTTTTGAGTCAAACAAACAATGGATCGACAGGTCATCTAAAACCATGAATGGAAGTAGTAACGTGATCCACAAAAAAAATTAACCAATACAACAACAAAAAATGCTCACCTGAGACAATATCTTCTATTTGGTTTTCAGCTGAAAAAAAAAATACAAAAAAATTGAACCTCTCCTATGTTGTTTTTCATTTTTTTTCTTCCTTTTTCGTTTTCGAGTATTTCTTTTTTTTTGTATTTTTGTATTTTTGTATTTATTTCTTTTATTTTTTTTGTGAGTGAAAAATAATAACACCAACAAAAGTAAGAAAGTGGGACCAAATAATTTCAAAATAAATTTTTTTTTTCCTCTTGACTTGCCGGAAATTGAACGACAATTACCGTATCCTACTAATTATGCTATTTAAACTGCCTTTCTCCAACTTGCGAGACGTATTTTTAAACTCTTTCAAAGTCTTCGTTCAGCGCATCCTTCTTGGCGGGCTCGTTGTTTCCGTTCGTCATCTCACTCTCTGTGGCTACCATCACCGTGGAACCGGGAAGATGGAGCTCGTCGGGACGGCGGTAGGCAACGTACAACGCAATAGCAACGCCCACAACAGTGACTCCCAGGCACAACCAGACGAGAGGAAACTCCTTTTCATCCTTCTTTTTATTCTCAGCAGACACGAAGTTTGACACAGCCAGGAGTGCAGCAGCAATCAGAGCGTACGTATAGGTCATTTTGTTGTTGATGTTGTTAATTTTTTTTTCTTTGTATATAAGAAAAATTCCGTTAGAAGGCCGAATGATAGCGAAGCACAAAAGATCTATTGATGCGTGTACATGACAAAAAAAAGGAATAAAAAAGAAACATCAAACCCAAAAAAAAGACACACAAAGAATAATAGACATAAAGCTGATTGAAAGATCGAATGTAAATATTATTTTTCCATACATTATTATTATTGTTATTATTATTATTATTATTTGCATTTATAATATCAAAAAAAGAATCTTGGCAAAGATGTGGAAGTAAAATGTCCCAAGTGACGTCAGGAAAAAAAAGTTTCACCTAATCCTGTCAGCAAGTATAACAAGTTTTAACATGGCTGCGACCTATACATACATGTAAACATCAAAGCTAACGAAACAATGAGAAAAAGCCATCATCACTAAAAAAAAATAATGGGAACAGCGAGAGGAATTTTGGCAATTCATATAAGGTGATTCCTCACAACAGCTCCAATACTCCACACGATATGATGCCGCCCGAGACAGCACACATAGTTCCACAGCAACAAGAACCCCTCCAAGCATTTACGCACAGCGAGGCCGCTCGCCCGCCGCTGCTACATAAAAGCCGCACAACTCGCCCCCAAAACCCACCCCGAGGGCCCCGGCGGCCACGGACGCCCAGGACCCACCACCCGTCTCCACGGGAACACAAAGAGGCCCGTATACGCCCGACCGCCTTTTTTCTATGTTCCAAGGAGCTGTTGAAGTAGAACGGCGTGTCGCAGCCGGGGGGGGGTGGCTGCTGCCCCGGCCGCCCACGCAGGTTCTGCGGGCCGCCTGGCCTGTCGGAGGAGCTGGCGCTCTCGCCCGTCGGAGGCACTATGGGCTTGGTGCCATGTTGGTGCCTTTTCCGACCTGAAAGGACGTGGGTGTTTTTTAGACAGCCTTCTCCGGCAGGGGGCCGCGGGGTGCCTTTCAGTATAAAAATGAGGGTTTGCCAGTGCCATTCTTTTTTTTGTTTGACGTGTGGGCGTATGTGTTGTTGTTGTTGTTGTTGTTGTTTTTTTTTTTTTTTTTTTGTCAAAGCCCTGATAAAAAGTGATGTAGCACATGTTGAGCGTATTCATAGGGAACCCGTTGTGTTGGGTTTCTTGTGTGTGACTGTTTTAGTTGGGAAACTGGATAATGCAATGAAAGGAGACTGCATAATATGGATTTATATGCGGCGATGCTTTACAGTTACTGGCTATAATGTTAGTGGTGATGACGATAATAATAAGCTTGTCTTTGCTGTGTAGTGTCATCTTAATTTGGAATGGACTGTTTTTGACTGTAAGTGTACATGTTTTTTTTATTGGGCATTAACTTGTGGAACTGCATTTTTTTTAACTTGTTTTTTTATGATTAGATCTCTGTTTTTTTTGTCTTTTTGTTGGTACCGTTATATCTATTTTCCTACCGATTATTGTTCAATTTTGTATACATTTGTGTGTTTTTTCTCCTTTTATCTTTTTTCCCTATTGTGTAGAAATCAAAGTTGCAACAATTTTAATGGAGCTTTTTCCACGATATTTGAATGAGATTTCTGATGGTGCTCGAAATAAGCGCCTGGCAGCTTATGAGAAGCTGTCACAGCTGTGCGAAGATGGTTGTCTTAATAACACAGAGGAGTTTGACCTGCTTCGAACGTGTCTTCGTGGATTTGAAGATGTTTCAGAGCGTTGCCGTGAATACTCAGTGAGGCTTGTAACACGCGTTTTTTCACGGCTGAGCTCTTCTGTGCTAGATTGGGTTTTGCCAGCTGTTGTGACTAGGATAGGGGTGTCACCCGTTGTAGAGGAAAGCGAGGAACTACGACTTTTATTATTACGGCTTGCGGTATTGTGTATGGAAACCTACCCAAATGAAATTGGTCCCCGTAACTATATTGACTTTTTCCAGGTGCTTTTGGAAAACTGTTTGCGTGATGCCTATCCAGAACTGAAAAAGGAGGCGTGTCGTGCGTGTGTTCGTCTCTGTGAGATTGAACCTGTGCAAACCAAACATGTTGCATTGCCGCTTGCCAACGTGGTCAAATGTTATCTCCTTCATAAACACAGTGTGGTGAGGGTTGAAGCTGTACGTGCATTGACCTCATTAATCCATCGTGGTGCTGCACAGATTCTTTCGGATGGTAATGAAGAAGAAACCCGAACAACAGCCTCCATACTGTTTGTTTTGGCAAATGATCATGTGGAATCGGTGCGAGTCGCTCTTGTAGAGCTGCTTTCGACGGTATTTTTGGATATTGTGGAGCGTCTAGAACAACATCGCAAGTATTTGCCCCACTTGTTATTGTTAATGACAGATCGTTTTGACGCTGTATCAACAAAAGCGTGTACGCTCTTGGAGAACATGGGAAAATTGTATATGCTTGACAATAAGGATGACTCCATCGATATAACTAAGAGAAGAGTGACTATGAAAGATATTGAATGGTATGGGGATGACGAATATCCAGATATGGCTTTGACGACGGTTGATACAAATTTATATCATGTTTTAAAAACACGTCCCTTTTTGGGAGCGCGCTATGTTGTGGCTGAGGCTTTACGTGGGTTTATTGATAAGATATTGGCAGATGTGACAGCCATTGATTGGGTTATCAAATTCTCTTCTAATAATCGGCGTATAGTTGCTCTACGTATTCTGTGGATGGCTATCTACCACAGTGAGAAGTATGTGGTACAATTTGTGGAGCAGATATTGGGTGTTTTATACAAGTCGTTAAAGGAGGATAACCAAGATGTTGTTCAAGAGTCGCTTGTTTGCCTGGAAGTGCTGGGAAAGTTTTTGACACCAGAACAATACATGCCCTTTTTAACTGGAAAGGGATATGTAAACCAGGTTGACGAAGAGACTACAGTGGTGGTTCAATCGCACTCCAAAACGATATTGGTATCACCTGCTAATGGTTCGCTCCCTCCTGCAGCAACAATTTTTTCAACAGCTGCCATGTCAGTGAAATGCAGTATTTTGGTGGCATTCCGTTACCTTATAGAAGGCTCGAAGCATTTGTTATCTGCTTCACAGGGTAACCAAATAGTTAAGGTGATGACCTCTGCTGATTTACTGGATAGTGATTGTGAAGCACTTCTATGTTCTTTGTTGGACACATTGGGCACAGTGATGCGTGTCTTGGGTGAGTGCGGGTTCATTCCAACAGCAACGAAACCCTTACCTCGTGAAGTTGCAGAGGACGTGGCTCAGAGAACACTAGATTCAATAATTTTTTATGCATTATTGTGTCTGCGAATGTCTGATTTTCCGTCTGTACGAGAACGCGTTTCTCGGTATATAAACGATTTGTCGTTCATTGTAACAGGGGAAGCTGATGGCATCTACGATCTTCACTTTGGGAGATTGTTATTTAGATATGGTGTTCATATGCCAGTTAGCGCCTTTTCTGATCTTGTTGTGCACTGTAAAAATATTGATATTTACGCAGAACAGGTTTCAGGTATATTTCTTGTAAAACTGAACCATGTCGACTTTTCGAAGAGTGTTATCGAAGAATTGCACTATCTTCGTGTATTGGAGCAACTTTTGTGGAAACGACCGCCTTTTTTTACAGGAACTCAATTAGAGGAACTTCTTCGGTTGATTATTATTCCATTGGGAACGTTTCACCCGGGTCGTCAAGCTCATCTACTTAGGAAGGTTGCCCTTAGTTGTTTATGCGCTCTTGTTGAGGAAAAACATAGCTGTCTGTTAAATGTTTTATTTGCTGACAATGATTTTGCCCTTTCCTCAAAAACGGTAACGGTTTGGTGCAATGCCTCAGACGCCGATGATGCAGAGATGCGTTTGGTATGCATGGAAAGTGCGGCGAATATATGTTTACTACCTATGAATGCTGGTAGTGCGAATGATATATTCCAGTCGATATTACTACGATTTGACGACTCCAGTGACTTTGTGCGAGCAAGGGCCGCCTCCGGGTTGTTGGGTGTTTTACAAAAAAAAGACCATGTCTCTCCTATTGTTATTGACCAAATTATAGCACAAGTGGTGCCATTGGTAAAAAAGATATTAATACACCTCGATGATTCTGAGGAGACCGTGGGTTTAAGACAAGTTTTGGTGAATGTATTGAAGTGTATTGCAGTTCTTTCACCGCTGACTACTGCAGATTTGGTACGTACGGCTCAGAAGAAACACCAGAACCCCATGTACTGCGAAGATGTGCTACGCTATATAGATTCTATCTAGAGTTAAGAAGACCTTTTTTTTTAAATTGTCTTCAAAAGGACGTAAACACGTTTTTCTTATTTGTTTTTATTGCGTGTACGAACACAAAGAAAAAAAAACATGTCGTGAATTCAGAGATGTAGTGGTATTGTAGGGGCTTGGTTGCTTGTCTCGCCCTTGCGGCGTGAATCTATGTACTTTTTTTTTCTTTTCTTGTTTGCACATCAACCTGATTTATATATATGATTACTTTCCTCACCTTATCCCTCAAAAACGAGAGAAAACAACAAGGGAAAACAATAACGAAAAATTAAAACACGCAAACAAATAATAAAAAGGATGGAGGTCCCTCATGTTGACTACGACATCAGCATTATGGTTAAGGCTGTGAAGGAAGTTCAGGAGCTGCTGAGGTCGAAGCAGTTTTCAACATATTCTGAGCTTGATAAGGAAATAACTGAAACTTTGCATGGTTATGAATCTCTCGGTGATGGTTTTGAGCGCTTTCGGGTCCATTTAACTAAAGATGCTGCAAATAGCCATGATTTGCAGCGTAGTCTTTCTGATATGAATGCCAGATGCGAAGCAAGGCTTAAGGATTTTGAATCGAGTCAAAATGATCAAATAAATGATATGTTGCCCTTTGTTGGAAGCACTTCTCGTATTTTGGTTCATGGTTGTGGTAGATTGTTAGCTGTTGCAATTGCTTGCGCCATACAGGAACGGAGCGGTGTTCATTTTTACATTTGTGAAGGACGTTCTGCAAGCAAAAACTATCCTGAAGGCACAGGCGTAGCTCTACTGGAAATGGCGGCACAGACACAAGAGGGGGTGCAACTTCAAGAGGCACTGAGGAAATCGTGTACGATTATCCCTGATGCTGGTATGGGAGCCATTATGAGTAAGGTGGATTTTGTTGTAATGGGCGCATACTGTGTGACTGAGCACGGAGGGTTGGTACATAGTACTGGGTCGCTACAGATCGCAACTGTTGCTTCAGCAATGAATGTTCCTTTTTACGTTCTTTGTGAGACGTTTAAGTTTGCTCGCATTTTCCCCCTTAGTACGGCGGACCTTAAACAGCCAGAAGGTAGTAATGACGTTCCTCTCGTAGAGTTTGTTCCACCTACCATGATTACGCTAGTTTTTTCTGACAAGGGAATTATGCCACCCTCTGCTGTGACTGATGAAATGTTTAGGTTTCATACCGCCCGTTTTGCACCTGGGAGGCGCAAGCAGTTCTCTCCTTAAATGCAATATTACCCATGAAAACTTTTATTGTTATCACGACATTTTTGTTGCGTTTGTTGACCTTTTTAATTGCATTTGGCATTATTTATCACTTTTTTTCACACGAACGGCTTTATATATCTATATCGTTGTATACTCGCTTGTAATGTGTGTGTGTTTTCCTATACATATATACTTTTTTCTTTTAGTAGTAAGTTTAAATACCCATTATTGTTATCATTTGCTGCGTATATTCTAGGGCCAAAGTTAACATGCCTTGTAACTGTCGTCACGGCACAGGATCCCATGACCATCTGCGGGATGGCTTTGTTCAAGAAGGTGTTTTTGGTATAGGGTCGCCTTTAAATCACCAGGTAGATCTGTTTTTTTTGCAGCTATGGAATGCAAGACACAGCGCCTCTGAAGCGGCACGTCTTTTTGACCCCAAAATGGAAGATAATCAAGAACCTATCTGTAGCGATGCTGACCCGGAGCTTTTGTTTTTGTTGCCTCTTAAGCAGGTTTGCCGCGTCAGAGGCATTTCAATTCTTGGAACAAACGATGACTTTTCCCCGTCTCAAGTAAAATTGTTTTGTAATCCTACTGATGTTGTGGGGTTTGACTCTGTTCGTCGATTGCAACCGCAGGAGGAAATTCAGTTGGCTCAAGTCCCAGAAGGGGACCGAATAGTGTACCGCCTGAACCCGGCGAAATTTTCCAACTGCTCGAGCCTGGGACTTTTTTTTGAGCAAAGTTTTGGGGAAGATGAAACCCATTTACTTCGCATTGACCTTTTCGGTGAAGCAACAGGGAGGTCCGTTCATCAAGAACCGGCCACTAATATTGTGTACGAAGCCCAACCAAATCCGGCTGACCACAAAGTGGCCGATGAGCATCTGAAATCTTTTACGGTGCTATAGTTACCTTTCCCTAACCCACTCTTGTATTGATGACTAGAGAAGCGGAAAGTACGCAGTTTATTATTATTATTATTATTATTATTATTGTTGGCCCCATTTTGATTCTCTCTCGCTTACACGCATACACCTCTGTCTCTCTCTCTCGCTCCCATAAACATACCTATGCACATACTTTTGTTGTTGTTGTTATGGAAAGAACGCTAAGAGTATTTCAATAAACGAAAAAAAATAATAATGATTAAGCGTCCGGAGGGAACATTGCTTTATGAGCCATCATGTCCAAATGAAATTACACACAAACTGACTCCCAACGGGCCAGCACAAAGTGCGAAACAAATATTTGAACCGGAAGCTGCAGTTCTTGACCCCCAGTTGAGTGAAGCAGTTTCGCTTGGAACGACAATTATGGCCGTTTCTTTTAATGGGGGTGTGGTTCTTGCCGCGGATTCTCGCACCTCCACGGGAACCTACGTGGTGAATCGGGCAAGCAATAAGTTGACTAAATTGACTGAGAAAGTGTACTGCTGCCGCAGTGGATCTGCGGCAGATACTCAGGCCCTGGCTGAGCAAACAGCAAATTACCTAGAGAGCTACGAGACAGACACATCAAAACCGGTCAATGTTGCGACTGCTGCTAACATCTTCCAAAAATTGTGCTATATGAATAAATGGAATATTTCAGCTGGCATTATTGTGGCAGGGCACGATCCTCTAAACGGTGGCTCTGTCTATAGCATCCCCTCAGGTGGATCGTGCGTGAAGTTGGACTACGCTCTCGGTGGAAGCGGTTCTATTTTCCTGTATTCGTTTTTTGACGCCAATTACAAGCCTGGCATGAGTAAAGACGAATGCATTCGCTTTTGTCAGCGGGCGGTTGCACATGCCTACAGCCGTGATGGATCTAGTGGTGGACTGATAAGGACCATTGCCCTTCACCAAGGTGAACCCGAAGATATGACAATTCCGTGGACAGAGGCACCTTATTGCATGGAAAAGGATCCAAAATACCGTGAGTTATCCGTGCTAAATCCTCCCTTCAGCAGCTCTTCAAAGGTAACCGTGAACCAGAGTCGGTCAGAGCATATTTAGGGATTTAAGGTTTGTGATAAGATTTTGGTGCGTTTTTCTTCTCTTCTCGTTTTGTTTTTATTCTGTATTTAGGAATGTGCAGTGCTGTTTGCCCGGATGCATTTTTTACGTTCGCTCAGCAGTTGTGAATGCACATGGATAGTAGCCTTGTGATACATACATGGGTCTGTTCAGCAGTGAATGGAAAATACATGTATGTTTATGTCTGTTCCTTCATGTACGATTTTGTATGGGGTTCCCTTAAAAAAATAATACGACTGCTTCTTTTTTTCTCCCTTTCCCCTCTTTTTCCATCTTTATGCATATTGTCATAAATAGAAAGGTCATTTTTTTTTTCTTGGGTCATTTGTCGGTTTATTTTCTGTTCGCGTTTTTGGAGCGATGCGATCAAGGCTACTAGGAAAAAGTTTGGCCTCCTTGTATGTACGACCGCCCGTTACGTGCTATACTGATGCCTGTGAGGCTCCGGTGGCCATGTGGAACGGTGCAATTCCATTGAAAGAGTTTCGTACAATGCAGCGGGGTGTTCCAGTGCGATACGTGGCGAAGCTGTACTCTCACCCCCCAGAAACTGCCCCAACGCAGCTTTCCTTTAATGATATCAATTCGATGTATTGCATTGGCAATGAGGAATTGATGAAGTTTTTTCCAGAGGGTTTAGGGGGAAAAGTGATGCAGTTGATGCCCCCAGGTCACCCCAGAGGGTTTTTATATCGAAAGGAGGCACATTTGTTGAACCTGTTCATCGACAAAATACTGTACTGGGAGGCGAAGCGTGATGTGCTAAACTCCCTCACAAATAATCGTCCCGGTTTTATCATTGATGGTTCCACAGGATGTGGTAAGAGTGCCCTTATGACTCAAGTGGTGCACTACGCCCGCTCGAGAAACTTACTGACATTGTATGTACCAAACGCTAAAGACTGGACTCACGGGGAATGGTGCTGGCCAAGCACTATCTTGCCGGGTTTCTTTGATGCCCCGGATGCCGCACGATCGTTCCTTCGATACTTTGCACGGGCCAACCGCAGCACGTTGTTGTCATGGCGCCTTAAGTGCACACCAAATGATCTGCCGGTGGAGCAGGGGGAACGACAACCACAAAACTTGTATGAATTTTGCGAATGGGGACACAAGGCAGTGGCCCCGGCCTCAATTGATCGCCAGAGTGTCTGTATCAAGTTCCTCCTGGACGAGCTTAGTGAAGAAAAGAAGATTCCTATTGTTATTGTTGTGGATGGGTGGAATTTATTCTCCCATGATACTCATTTTCGGTATCCGCATCCCGACTTTCTTCGCACACTTGCTTCTCTAAACGATGACTCCACTGACGTCGATCTTTATCCGCAGGAAATGCCTCGTATTCCTGCGTCCCGCCTTAGCTTCGTCCGCGGCTTGAATAAAATGATTCTCTCCAAGGATGAACCGAATAAGTTTTTTTTTACCTGCACCACGAGAGATTTTAAACCATTTGACGGTATTAGCGGTTTTCCAGATGTTGAAACCGATCGTTTCACGAATTGTCTAGATGAATATGCCCCGTACGATGCAGAAAAGGACTCTCTATTTCATCCTATTCATTTAGGTAACTTTGATGAGTACGAATTTCGAGCCTTTACAAGATTCCTTGTGAATTCTGGTGAGTTGGCAGGCCTTGGCTGGGGGCCCTTGTGGCATTTTTCAAGCAGTTTTGAGCGAAAACTGTATAAAATAGGGTTTCTCTCTGACAGCAACCCACAAGGGGTTATTGATCACTACCACCAGGAGTTAGTATGGCGCTATGAATACCAGAGGACACGGCAGAAACAGTACCTGCTGCATCGCAATATTGAGCTGGAAGCGTCTTCGAGGAAAACGGGTCACGCTAGGCATAAAGAACTGTGATGGATGGTGTTGTCTGTCCTTCCCACTCGCGTTCTCTTCCGTTTGCCTTGTGAAAGAGAATAGGCGTTCACAAAACACGTGACAAGGAGAGGGAAAGAAGGAAAGAGTGAAAGGAGCAGAAAGGGCAAGAAGAAGAAGGAGCTTTTCTACTCCTCTTCTTTGTTGTTGTGCCAGTGGGTTTTGTTATGTATTTAGTTAGTTGTGGTATTATTATCTACACACGATAGTGTGTTTCCCTTTTTTTTTTATGTCCTTTTTCTTTCTTTCTTTCTTTCCCGCCCTTTCCGTGTGAATCTGCATGTGTGGGCGCTACCTTGGGAGTGTAGAACATGCCACGTCGGAGAAAGAGACATCGTTACGATTTGCATCGTAGTTTTGGTAGCCTAAAGGATTACTACGGACTTCCACTATTTCAAAGGCATTCCCGCCATGTAGTGTATTCACTCGGTCTCACTCCTCACTCTCGCCGAAATAGTCTCTCTGAGTATCGTATCATTGGCTCATCACGGGAGCAGGTTGTCTTGGAGGTCATGCAGACGTATAACCCCACCGCTCCAACCCGACAAGTATGTGACCGCTTTTTGGAAGTAGCCGCGTTACTTTCTCTCTACTACGACGCTGTGGACTTGCTCCATCAAATGCCGAAAGCTTGAGTGGGGAGAGAAAGGGAAGAAGACTACCTCCGGCGTCAGTTGCTCCGTAGGCTTTACTAATTCCCTTCTTGTACATCTTGGAGACCAATAGGAGGAGGAAGATGGTGTTGCCGCATCAAGAGGTAGTATATATATATATATATATATATATAATAAGAAAACCAACAGGTAGGTGTCAAGGGGTGTTTGTTGCTTCTTCTCTTTTTGTAGCTTCTTATTCTCATTTTTTTTTTATTCGCACCCACATATGTTCTCTCTCCCTCTGATATGCATACAACATCATATAACAATCCCATTGTGGAGGCTTCTGTGAAATAGCGGAAACTATGGTATCCATCTTAGCAAGCAGTGAAAACATTATTGCGGAGGCGTTGGATACGATTATTTCTGGTAGAAAGATAGAGACGGAGAAGTTTCTGAGCACCCTTCGTAACGCCGGGAAACTTCGAGATGGTCGTTGCTTTCTTGAAGAGGTGTCTGGTGGGACGTTAGTCATAGGGCCCTGCAGAGGCCATGCAGCTAATTTGGCGCACTACCTACGCAGTCACGTTCTGGATGAGATTTTAAATAAGAGGTTAAACGTTGTTTTTCTCGGCAATTACGTGGACGGTGGACATAAATCAATGGAGGCATTGTACTTAGTGGCTCTCATGATGCAACACTCGCCTGGCATCGTTGTGCCACTGATAGGCAGACACGAAATGTTTTATCCGTTTCCTCCAGGCCACTTCGGATCATTGAGGGCTGAGCTGCACATGCGCTCCATGCAGTGTGGGGTTCCCTTGGACTTACTTGAGCAAACTGTGAAGAGTTTTTTTGCCAAACTTCCCGTGGCCTGTGTTGTGAACAAGCGCTTCTTCTGTTCCTCCAGTGGTCTCGCATCGGGGTACCGACATGTGCATGAAATTCGGCAAGAAGTTTCACAGTCCTCTCTAAGTGAGTTTGTTCTGAATCAGCCCATGGATGAAGATGAGGAAAAGTTGTCTTCTGGGTGGGCATTCGTGGGGTCTCAAACTGATACAGGGAACTCGCTGAGGTATACTTTTAACGCGGCGTCAAATTTCTTGGCGCGCAACGGTCTGTATACACACATCGGAGGCCTTGAGTATCAGATGTATCGCCCGGAGTTTGAGAACTCTGCGCGGCCAAACCACTACGGCGAATCGACGTACTTCCCCGGCTGGTTCCTAGGAAGAATACATCATGAATTTCGAGTACCAATCTCTATTTTGATTTTTTCAGCCCCCTATTTCTGCAGCATAAATCAAAACTACGGCTGCGTTGTGGCCATCATGGGAGATACATTGGAACTGCGACAGTTTGGGACCTTTGCTGGACGACCAGTTATCATGCCTGGTGAGGAAGCCCACGCCTTTTCCTGGTCACTGGAGCTTGTAGAGGAGGCGGTGAGAGCCATTCTTAATGATGTGCTGTTTGCTAATATTCCCCAAGCAATGGAGGAACATAGCGGCAAAGACAACGACACATCCACAGAGGAGACACGCGCGATTACGTCACGGTACAGGCGCATGTGTCAACTTCTGAAAAGTCACTCACTTCCAATTCCACGTTAGGCGGTTCATTCATGCGCATCTGTTAGTACAATATTTAGCACTATTACTAAGATTATTTAACTCGATGTTGCTGTTGTTGTGAGTTGCATTGGAGTTATGTGTTTAGCCTCCCGTTGCCATCCCAACGGAAAGGCGTCAACGAGAAGAGTAGAATGCAAAGCGTTAAAAAAAAAAGAGACAGTAAGACACATCTGTACGTGCAGAGACATATTTGGGGAGGGGGAATAGGAGTTTTCCGTGTGCAATCTGATGCCTCTGAGGATTTGCGTGGAGGTGCACATTTTTTAGTTTGTATTTTGCTGAGTCTCTTCTTGTACTCGGCAGGGGCTGACAGCTGTTTGTTAGAAGCCAACACCAGCCAAAAAGGAGGAATAAGACGGAAGAAAGACAAGAGTGTAAAATAGACACATACATCAGGCTTATGTCGCAGCCGGAGTTCTTACTGCTTTCTCGACTGGGGGTTTCGGTCCCCGATGCGTCCTCGCAGGCGCCGCAGATGACAAGAAGTTCTGAGGGAAGGTTCCGCGTGCTGGCTCCGTGCATGCGTCCGCCTGTGAAAGGAGCAATGGCTGCGCAGATGACTTCGCCGCGTCATATTCCGACCGCTCCTCTCGCTGACTACGCTGGTGAAGTGATCACGGTGAAGGGAAAGGACGGTCGTCCGGACACCGAGTACCTCATTTACAACGCGAAGTCGCCCTCTATTTGGGCAGCCAACCTGAAACTGATGGAAGAGCAACGACGCAAGCGTGAGGAGGACGCCGTGTCTCGGATGTCGCCTGACAAACTCTTCATCGATTCACATGAAAGCGACAATCTGGCTCGACGACGTGTTTTAGAGCATCTGCAACGCATTAACAGGGAAGAGGCGCAACGCAAGGTAGAGGAAAGAGCACGCGAGCGACAGCGGCGTTTGGAGCGTGAGCTGGCGGACTTAAGGGCAGTTGAAGAGGCTGCCGCCAAAGAAGCGGCAGATCTTCTAGTAAAGAAGCAAGCGGAACGTCATTTCATGCAGCAGGCCGTGTTAGAAGCGACGGAGCACAAACGACTGGAGTCTGCGGATGTGAACGGTGGGTTGGCGGCTGGCTGTGCCGCCTTTCCGTGGGATGAGGTTTCCCAGAATGGGACATCGCAGCGGGAGAAGTGTTTGCTCCTCTTGGATGCTAACCGAAAGCTGGCCGAGCTGAAAAAAAAGGAGCAGCAAACACGAAAGATAGAGGAGAAGGTCAGGGAAGAGACGGTGCTGGCGGAGGTGCGTGCACAGGCAGAGAACGAAAAAAGAAAAGCAGTGGAGAAGAAACGACGTCTGGCTGAGGAACGACGAAGCGCCAGCGTAGAGGCTCAAGTAAAAACTGTCCCTGCTGTAGTAGAGCTGAATGACCGCTCCGCTAGTTGGTTTTTGCAGAGCACGAGGGAGGATGCGGGGGCACGGCGCGAGAGAGAGCGGGAGTTGATGGAGACAAACAAACAACTGGCGAAAGAAACAAAACGGCGACGTGCCGAGGACGCAGAGAGGCAACTGCAAGAGGAACGGAAAAGGCTGCAGGAGTCTGAGAGGGCGTACAAGCAGGAGATGGAACGTGAACGTGCAGAAAAGCGCAAGCAGCAGGATGCAGTTAATCAAGCCGCACTAAAAGCGGCTGCAGAGCGCCATGCAAAGAGACAAGAATCACACAGAGATGAATTGGATCTTGGCATATTCAAAGACGATTCCTCCAAGGTGGAAAATGAGAGACGACGGCGAGAACAGTTCTACCGCGATGAACTGAAGAGGGATATTGAAGATGCGCGGAAAGCACGTCGTGGGGCGAAGGAACGGGAAATCATGGAAGAGAAACGCTTCCTTAGTTTGTGTGAAACTGAAGCGAGGCGCACGCTGGAAATAAACCGAGTGAGGGCTGCAGAAAGGCGTGAAACCTACCGGAAGGCGCTGGAGGAACAAATTCGCTCAAAGAAGACGGAAACAACTTGCGAGGTTCCTGCGACGCATCGGGGTCCGGTGATGAAGGTGTTGTACCGGTGCCCTGTGACTGGGGAATTGTTGCGGCCGGATCAATTTGGCATTTCGTCTGCTCGACAGCGTCGATCGGGCTGGAGCTGGTAACAGGGATACTTAAATTGATTTGGGGTGGGTGGGGGGGGGGGGAGACATGGATTGGGCTCCGTTTGTGCTCTTGCTGTAGCAGTGTGGGGTAATTTGCAGCTTTACTTCACCTTATACACCCGGAGGTTGCTTCTTATCCGCCTTGTAAACATTGCAGTTGGGGGGAGTAAAAGAATAAAAGAAGGGAGGATCGCAGTGTTGTAGTGTACTGCGTGCGTGTATTCTTACTGTTGGGGTTGTCGTTGATTCGCGCATTCCTTACTCGTTTGCTGTGTGTGTGTGTATATGTGCATGTGTTTGGCTCATTTTTATTTTTTTGTATTTTCATGCTGTGGCCCTGAAAACGGGGCTGTAGTGGCGGCAGGGCGATGTTGTGTACTTCTGTGTGTATGGCGAAGACGTATGGCCCATTATTTACCTCTTTCCTTCTTCGCACGGTGGTTGTTCACACAAGCAGGAAGGGTCGTGAAAGAAAGGGAGAGAGAGAGAGCGAAAGGTTGTGTGTCTGCTGAGGGTTTTGCTCTTTCACTACGGCATGAAGATGACAGATGATGAGATTGCCGAGCTGGAGAGGAACTGCATCTCACTCTATTATCATTCCTCTCGCGTCAGCAAAGCTTCTGGCGGCGTTGTGACCGCCACAGTGATCTCTATCGCATGTCGCTCTTTTTATTGGGCCCTTCAGGCAGTGGCCGTCGCCTTCATCACGCTTTGCTGGGTGCACTCCTAAGTCAGGAATTGCAATGGATTCTCAGTACACCATCGCGCAGATTTCTTTGTATTTCGTTTCTTGTTGTTGTTGTTGTTGTTTTGTCGTGTGTGCCTTTGCAGAGAGAAGGACGAGAGGTTTGTGCGAGTTCAAGTACGTACTTTTTTCTTTGTTTGCGTTTATTTCTTTATACATTGTGTTTGCGCAGGCATAGATCTTTTCCGTGGGGACGGCGGGTCTGCGGACTGTGTTGGATTGGGGCAGCACGACACATTCGTCCATTGCTTCTATGCAATCCGTGCTTCCGTACACGCTGAACCCGCAGCGCATGACGGGATGTGAGAAGGTAAAAGTTTTGAACCCCCACACTGCCGCATTGACAGGCCCAATGATAACGGTCCGTGAACCGAATCTCGTTAGTGGGGGGCTGTTGCACAATTGGGACGCCAACGCCGCAGCCGCCCACCTCTCAACACTCAAGACGGTGCATACATGGGACCTCTCATGGACAGAGAAGGAGGCCTACTGGGAGAAGAATGTTGGGCGATGCACTGGCCCAGAAGAGGTGGAGGACCTGCTTCCCGCAAAGTGGATTGGCTACAACGTGAGCAGTGACGTGGACGAGACACTGGCGCTGGTTTGTAAGCTCTGCACAGCGCTTGTAGACAAATTTGTCTCTCTCTCGCGTGGAGATAATGCCAACATCTCCACCGCAAAGTGGCGTCAACGTCAGATGCTTTATGACCAACTGGGGGCCGTCATTGAATTATTGGAGGCCTCCATTGGGGAGGCGATTCCCATTTTGCGTCTCCGTGACCCGGAGTTTGTGCGGGACTGCTGGCGGCAGCTGCAGGACGAGGATAGGATGGATATCGTGTCTGCGCTTAACGCCTCCGAAAAGAGGGAGGTTCCTCGTCACTGATTTTTTTTTTTCTTTAGATAGCCTAGAAGCAAGGTGGCAGCTGAATAGAAAGATGAATAGACAGACAATGTCTCTTTGCTCAGACAACTTGATGGTTTTTGCGTGGCTTTATGTGCGACATTATTATTCGTAAAGGATGGGAAAAAACGGCGGCCTGCTTTTGCCTGTGTTTTCTACATTTAGAATGACATATTTTTGCTATTGATGCATCTCGTAGTATTCCACCACGCTATTATTTAGGTTGTTGTTGTTCTTGTGGCTTTGTTTTCATTACCCCACCCCTAAGCCGTACGCTTCCCTTCTTTCATTCCTGTCGAGCACCCCACTCTCTTCTCTCTTCATTTCGTTGCTGTGTGCTGTTGTTGGTTTATATTTGTTGTTGTATGCGCAAGAGGAACTAGAAATGCGACGGTGCTTGACGGCGCGGCTTACGTTTCAACGCCTGCTTTGCGGCGACGCGTCATCACTGAACGATGCCACGGCTGCTCAGAAAGCTGCACAGGCCTTCCGCACGCGCTACCCCCTCGCCCCGGTCCCTGTTCCCATTGGGGCAGCACTGGGCAGGAGCTACCTTCTACAGGGCAAAATGAGGCGGGCAGTGGCGTTGCTTGCTTCGCATCCATCGGCACGGGCACTGGCGGAGGCGACGAGGCAGCTGCTTGCTCACGATTGTAGCGTGGACGCGGATGCACTTCTGCAGTTTGTTGACGCGGTCCGCCCCGTTTCATCGGTGATCTCGTGTGATTTCCTTGGTGTTTTTGCGGGTCGTCTAGCGAGGGCAGGGAAGACGCAGGAGGTGAAGCAGCGGTTGTTGAGGGACATTCGCGAGGCGCCTCATCTTGCCGGTACCCTGCTGCGTTCCTTGACGGAGCTGAGCGATCCTGCAAACTTGGAGGATAGGCACAACGTGGCGGAGGCCATGAACATCGCCCTGGCGCAATCGTTCGTTAGCCCAATGGACTACGGCCCTGTTCTCCTGCTGCTCTCACGCGGCGGCGAGCATCGAAAGGTACTGGCTTTATGGTCCTGGATGCGACACTCCTCTGCTCGGTGGGACCAAACGGCGGCTTCTGCCGTGATTATTTCAGCGTCTCTCTCACGGAAAATGAATGTTGCCATTGCCGTCATTCAGAGTTTGGCAGAAGCCAACGAGGACCCCACCATCGAGGCACAGAAACACTTTATACAACACTTGGCTTCCCGTTTCCCTCCATTGCCACGCTACGCAGATCAGCTCGTGACACACTGGCACACCGACGCACAGTTATGGGCAACCGGAGCGCGGGTGGTGGGGGTGGAGCTGCTCTTTGCGTATTATCATGTCAAGGAGTACGAACCGCTGCGAGATTGGCTTATTAGGGCCGCGACGAATGCCGCCACGGAGGAGGCAAAGCAGGCCATACTTCGAGTGAAGGGGATACCCTACATTATGCGACATTTTGCTTCTAGTATCGCTGAGGAGCCATGGCTTGAAGATTTTTACGTCGCTGGGATGCATATGGAAGATCTTGGCGAGTACCCGCAGCTCTTGGGGTTGTTGTCAACTCTCGCACGCCACAGGAAGGCAGAGGAAGAGCTTATGGATGCTATCAGAGGCCTGCAAATGAGTGTGGAGGCCTTTGATGAGATGGCAACGTTTGTGGCGGACGACATTTTCTTTAGAAATGCAGAAGACACACTGCAATTTATTCACAATATGGCGGAGGCGCTATCGCAGCAGGTTCCCACTAATGTGCGCAGCTGGCTGCAGCTTCTTGGACAAGGATAAATGGCGATATTTGTGTGGATCCCTTTTGTTTTATTTGCCTGTTTTGCCACTGCTTTATCGACATGACGATGAGGTACGCTGCGGAGAGGCTGGGATGTGAAGGGGGGAAGCAAAACAAAAAGGATATGAGTGACTGTGCGTGAGTGGAAACAAACGGGAGTCTTTTTTTGCATGCGTCTATCTGCGCATGCGGGCGGTGGTCTTTGCCTCCTCCTCCCACGCACCGTTTATTTTCTATTTAATTTTTTCCTCCGTTTGCCGTTTTTGTTTTGTTCTTTTTTGCCATTGCGGCTTTCGGGCCCTTAGTCCCTTGTTACGTGGTCAATCGACCGCCTAGACACACAAGGGTAAACAAAAAGAGTATACAAATCATGCACTGAGTGTGAGTGGCAGACTGGAGATCCTCAGCGCACCTCTCGTAACCGAGTCGCCACACGGCCCTCACACTTGTAGTGGAGCGTAAGCGCAAGTTGCGCGGGTGTCAAAGGCGCGACAGTGCTGGTTTGTTCCCACTGGCGTGAATGGGGGAAATGCCAAGGATAAACATGAGGGCGGGCCGACACCTCCCATGTGCATGTGCGTGTCTCAGCGCAAGTGTGAGAAAAACGCCGCTGCAGCCTGCACAGCTGCATTAAGAGGGCGACGGCCATATCGAAAAGAAAATAATTTCTACCCACCGTTTCATCCGTTTCACACCCCAAACTTGCGGCAACAGCCGCCTTACGTGGCCACCCAACGGATGCTCTGGCGTTTAATCTCTCTTGAGTTAAAGTGACTGACTTGCTAGTTGATGCTGCTGCTTGTTTCATTTTGCTGATGTGTCCTCGTGTCAGCCGGCAGATCGTCTTCTTTCGCCCTTGTACTTGCCTTCTTCTTTTTATTTTCCTCTTTTCTTGCGTGCATGCATGCGCGTTTTTCTTTGTAGTTTCAAGAGTTTCAAGGGTGGAATGTGTAACTCACCAATTTTGGTCAACCAACGCGCGTGCCCCTCCTTCTTTACACCGCAACGAAAGCATAGTGCGGAATCTCTCACGAATGGGCTGAACGGCATGCCTCTCTCACTCCGTGGCGTGGTGCCGGATGATATGTTTCTAGGGGGTGACACGCCAGCGTCATTCACCTCGTTTCCGTCGCCGCCTTCAGCGCGCCGTAGAGGGCGTTCAAACCGCGAAGTGTTGGAGGCCATGCTGCGGAGCGACGCGATAGCAGCGGAGCGCAAGGAAGAGTCACGCAGAATGGCGTTGCAACAGGAGTTGTCTCAGTGCCGCCCCGCACCCCGCATTAGTGCCATAGGCCAGAACCTCCCACGTGATGCAGACGTCTTCGAGCGGCTGGGGTGTATGCACGAGGAAAAGCAGAGGGTTGGCGATCTCAAGCGGCGGGAATGGGAGCAGCAGCAGTCGCGGGACATGGAGAGGTGTTTTGTGCCAAATATAACTGGTAGAGGACACTATGCGGAGGGTCGTGCGCTGCAGGAGACTGAGGAGTATCCGCAACGCCGTCAGCAACGGGAGAAGGAAATGGTGCAGCTTGCTGAGGTTTTCCGGCACCGCCGTTTAGCAGAAGAGATTGCAGAATTGTGCGCCTCACCTAAAATCAACCTTCGCAGTGAAGATATTGTGCGGCGTGCACGGGAGCGGAGTGGTGGTGACGAAAGGCTTCATGTTGACAGCATACTGGAGCGCAGAGCGATCGCGCAGCTTGCGCTGTGGGAAAGACATGAACGCCGAGAGGTAGAGGCCTTATCATTCAATCCGCGCATTACGGCCCACGCTGCGGGGCTGAAGCACAACGGCATGGTCGTTGAACGACTGAGCTCCAGCGCAAAGGCGACGAACCCACGACAAGGCGAGGACACAAGGCAAGCAAGGAGTGAGCCGCGGTTGCGGTTCCGAACTGCCGGGCATCCCTTTCAACGCAAGCAAAATAGAAACCTACGTGGCACAGAGGTTCATCCCGTGCAACAGCGAAACCCCAGTAGGAAGTCGATTGACTCCCGCACGACCTCCATGGAGGAGCGGCAGCGTCAGTACAAAATACGGCGGGAGGAGAAGATCCGCGCCGTTTTTGAGGCGGAGCGACGACTGCATACACCGGCCATCAACCCCATTTCGGAAATGATCTCAGCCAATCTTCCTGTGTCGTCCGCCGAGCGCTTAATGATAAGTAGCACAAGGGGCGACAACGGAGTCGTCCAGGCGAGCGATAGCAGCAGCGTCACACCAGGATGTGGTTCTTTCTGTCTCCGCGCTAGAAACGTGATCCGGTGCAGTGGCGCCAATGCTCATGATGATGGCCCCGAGGAATACGTTTTGCCTAGTCAATTCCCAAGCTGGGCGAACACTAGAGTATCACAGACGCGTGGCAAAGAGGAAATCTACGAAAGGGCACTTCGTTGGAAGCAGCGACGAGATGACAAGGTTCAGGGGATGCGTACCGAGCTGCATGAAGAGAAGACATGGCGGTCAATGCAATCAGCGGGCGTCACGCAGAAGGCTGACAAGGATGTGAAGGACACTCCGACCTCACCTAACACATGCTGTGAGAAGCAGTTTCTTGATAGCTACGTTACTCCGCGAGCACCGACAGGTATGACTGAGGGAACCAGAACGCCAGATGTGCTTTCATTACGAAGAATAACTGGTGATGAAAGGTGTTAGCGCTATCCTGAAGCTCATTGATACTTGTGAAATCCCTATCGTCTTTTTTTTTTTGCTTATTACTGTTATTTTTTTTTTTATTATTATTTTTTTGCACGCACGCACACTCTCTCTCCTGCTCGCACTTTTCTTTGCTGACCATTTATAAGTGACCTTCCACGCTTAGCCCACATGGAATCTATCGTCATCAATTCCCTACACTATGTATTGTGTGCGTTGTAATTTTTTTCCACTCCGCCACTGACAACGGATTATTATTTATTTATTTTCCATTTTTTGCGTCTGCGTTGCTTCTTGTGGTATGTGACTGTTAGCTGCCTCTCTACAGGCGACGGTCCTTAACTTTGCATTCTCCTCACTGTTTCTCTTACTCCCATCTACATAAGCCATGTACATTACCCCCCATGATTTATTTGAACCGTTGCCGCTGTCGCTGTTTTCTCCTTTTTGATTCTTTGCCCACACACTCGCAGAGAAAAAGAGATTAAACGCTACTCGCTGCTCTGCGCTTTGAGGGCCCTGCAGCCACCACCAGCAACACAAACAAGCACACACACACACACACACACACACCGCTCACACACCATGCCCAAGCAGCTGTTTTCTTTTGCGGGGCTCCTCCTCTGCGTGCTGTTGATGTGCTGCGGTAGTGGGGCTGCGGCCGGTGATCAAAAGAATGTTGTGGACCCATTTACAGGGACGGCGATTGTGTCAGGTGCTGAGTGGGAAGACGTTACAAACGGTGGTGCATCGGTCAAGTCGCTGCGTGTCCCCAGCCTTGTGGAGGTGGACGGTG